CTGTAACTCTCGAAGTGCCCACTTCCTGTCCTTGCCTGGAGGGAGGAGGGGGGAGCCCCAAGCAGGGCCTTGGAAACCCTGAGTAATGGACAGGAGCCTCTGCCGGACCCGCCCAGAGTTGGTTGCTGTAAGCCGGCTACTGAGAAGGGAAACTACTCACGTGGGAGGGAGGGATTGTTTTTAAGCAGAGGCAGATGGGAAACAAAATTCTGAAGTTGGTAAGGGAGGTGGAACTCGAAAGAAAATATATAACACTGTGTTGCGGGTAATATGTATTCTTTGCAATATCTGAGGACCCTCTGTGTGCCAGATACTACTTTGCATTAGCATCGTTTAACAAGTCAGAGAGATGGAAACTAATTTGCTTCCCATTCTGCAGATCAAGATACTGAGGCTCTAGGAGATGAAGTCAGTTGCCCTGGGTCCTGGTAGGAAATCCCAAGTGTGCACACCCACTTCCTCATACTTACCCCTCCCCCCAGCTGTTGTGGAGTTCCTTCTTTTGCCCTGGATGTTCCTCAGCTTCCCAAATCATTCACACCTAGACTTTTCTTCTCACTGAGGATTCTCTAGATAGGCAGGCTAGCTGGAGTGCTAACTCTAGTCAATGAAAACAAGGAAGACACACAGGGGTGTCTGGTAGTCCCTCTCATGCATACCCCCAAGCCAGTCACACACCCTAAAGCTCCAGAGTCAGAGACTATGAAGTGGGGTTTCAGGTCACCAGTTGTATGTAGCATTTCAGCACCAACTGGAGGGCCTTTGTGCAGAGATCTTGCCAGTTCCTCACTTCCCTGCTCACAAGTCAGCTCCAAACCTACAATTCCAGCTCTACTACTGTAGAAATTCAGGTCCTCTGTGCCTAGTATTCCAGTCCTCGGGAGGCTGAGGCAGGAGGATATTGAGTTTGAGAACAGCCTGAGCTAACAAAAAAGACCTTGTCAAAATCAAAAAACAAACAAACAATCCACACCCACACCAGATTCTTGTCAATTGAATGTAGTGAACATGGAAGTTCATTGTCAATCTCTAGGACACTCTCAATGCCGGCACAATGGTACCTGCCTAAAGATGGAGGCAAACAGATCGTAAGTACCAGACTAACCTGGTACTTACTACATAAGGAGATTCAGGCCCCAAAGCAAGCAGACACAGTGGCACATGACTTCTATTCCAGCACTTGGGAGGCAGAGGCAAGCAGATTGCTGAGCTTGAGACCAGCCTAGATTAATAGAGAGTCCCAGGACAGCCAGGCTACATCATGAGACATTGTCTCTAAATAAATAAATAAATAAATAAATAAATAAATAAATAAATAAATAAATAAAACTACAAAACCAAGCAAAAATGAAAAGTGAAAAGTGGGGAATATAGTAACTTATTCCTACAGTCCCCCAAATTTGGCAGGCCAAAGCTGGAGGACTGCTATAAGTTTGAGGCAGTTTGGACTGCAAAGTGAGTTGGAGGCCAGACTGGAAGATTATTTAAATAATTAAATAAATAGATTAAATTAAATAAATAAGCAAATATAGATGTTGTCGTGAGCCAGATGGATTCAGGAAGTGTGGAAGCTCCTTATCCATCTCTGACTAGAACTAGTGTCGAGGTACAGATATCTGGGGTTGGACCATCAGTGGCAGCAGGCAGGTGGGCAGTTCCTAGCTGGGTGATGTCTACAGAGGGGTGGAGACTCTTCTGAAGGGAAAAAGAAGACAAGAAGGGAAAAGGCCCGGTGGATGCTAGCATGGGAAAGTAGACAAAGAAAGCTGGGGTCCCAGAACACCTGGTAACTAACGACCTTATCCGGTCACCTCCTTACTGCCCCAGCTTGACCTTTCTTTCCCAGAATTGCACGGAGCCACTGCTAGGGCCTGGGTATAGGATCCGGGGATGTGGGAAGAATTTCTTTCCTACCCATCTCCCTATTAGCTCCAGGGTAACCCACTCTCCCCGTCTCCAGAGAAGGAGAGGGGGGGTCCCCAGCTGAGCTGTGGGCTCTGTCTGTGATACCATCCATCACACAGAGCATCTGGGGAGATGGAAGCAGAATGAACAAACCCAGAGAGCCTAACAAACCAGATTTGGTGAGGACACTGTGACTCCTTTGGGCTGTGACTCACAAGGATGATGTCACAATGGGTTTGGAGGTGTGGCTCTTACTTTTAAACTGAGGTAAAGCAGCTCTCCCTCACATTCCCTTCCCTTCTATTCCTGAGTAGATAAGATGGAGTGGCATGGGCCGGTCCCACGGCCTGTCGTCCACTGGGCAAATGACTTTGGAGGTCCGTCTCAAGGACAGACGTGAGCGGAAATGGTCTCAAGCCCAAATCTATACAAAGCTATTGTTTAGAAATTTATATATGGTCGAGGAAGAAAGCTCAATGGCTCACTAAGGCGCTGAGTAAGCGCCCCTGACATGCCAGGTACAAACTTAGGTGGTGGTGGCCCCCTGGAGGAAGGAGGGGCTGAGGGACCTACCCAAGGTATCTGCCTGTCAAGGTGGTGAATGGTCCAGGTTCGGGGCTGCCTCTGCCTAACTGGTAGGATTTTTGTCAGGCAAAAGGACAGAGAGCCAGGTATGGTGTCTCAAACCTGTGATCCCAGCACTTGGAAGACTGCACCAGCCTGGAGAATCATGAGTTTGAGGCTAGCCTGGGCTACATAGTGAGACACTGTCTAAAAAAAAAGAATATATTCTAAGTGGCAAGATCAGCATCCAAATAGCCTGGCATGGGCAGACCTAAAGCAGAAATCTGGGGTGAGGGGGTTAGCTAGGGAAGGTGGGGGTAATTCAGGGAGGGGGTGCGATTCTTCCCCAACCCTGAATCTGTCAATCCTGGATTCCCTTCTTCATGTGAGGTTCCTACCACCCCTGTTTTTTAAGAGGAAAGATGGGTGAATTCCATCTTCAATCCTGTGCCCAAGATCCCACCCGTGGAGGACATTTGGGACAAAGAAAAGGAAGAGGAGGAGGAGGAAGAGGAAGAGGAGGAGGAGGAGGACACCGTAGACCAAGAACAAGAGAAAGAAGAAGCAAACAGGTATGCAGGACATCACTCTTTACTGTTGCCTCCTCCATCCCTCCAGCGCTGGCTCCCGCCCTCTGTCCAGCTCCCTGGAGATCCTCAGTGTGTGACCTCTCCTGTGACCTCTGCCCCTCCTGTATCTCCTCTTCCCTGACGCCATTTCTCCTTCCTATTTTGCTCAGGATCAAGGCCCTCCTCGGAGTACCCAAGCAGGACTCGGTGTGGGGCCTGATGGCTTGGCCCAGGCACCCTCCAGAGCCAGCCTGGTGGTGGGAAGACTTTTCCCTGCCCCCACTCCGGGGACCCCGCCTCTGCCGGTGCAGACTGAGGACAAAGATGAGGCTCCACCCCCTGCCTTCCCTGACCTCCTGCTCCACCTCCAAAACCTTGCCCTCACTGGCAACCAGAGATGAGCCCAGCTGGCTAAGAAACCAGTCTCTGACGGAGCCTCCACCAGCTACCAGACTGAAGACCCCCAAGGCAATGCAAAGGCTTCATGCCAAGGTCTCCCCTAAGAGATCTACTGTCCCCAAGTCCGGGCGACAGCAGACCCCGATGTCAATGTGGCCTCCAATTATTTTAAACCCTCCCTCCAAGAGCTCTGCTCTTAAGGGACAACACACGTCCTCTGCCAAGGAGGCCTCCCATACCCCAGGCGCCTGGAACAATCCCTTGCCTCACCTTCCTTCAAAATAAATATTTTTGTTACACCAGCAACAGTCTAATGCAGTTCTGGGCACTTTTCGATATCCTAGCTCATGTAATCCTCACAGCATTTCTAAAAAAAAATCAAAGCATAGGTCAGGTTCCCCCCACCCCATTCCTGACAGGGTCTCCTGTTGCCCAGGCTGATCTCAACCTTGCTCTATAGCTAAGGAAGACATTGAACTTCTGATCCTCCTCCCTCCCTCTGGAATGCTGGGAGTACAGGCATGTCACCATGCCCAGGTTGATGGTGGGAGCTACAGCCTAAGCCTTTATTTACATCACTCCTGCATGGGACATTTCACTCTCGTTTATTCATTCAATTATTTATGTCAGTGTGGACTCAGGGACATTTACGTTACACTTGGAGTATTTAAGGCTAATGTGTTTATCTGGCTGCTCAAGTTGTTCCTATGGGGGGGGGGGGAGGGCGGTGCTGCTGTTGTGTCCGGTGTCCCTTTGGCATACTCCTGTCAACGTGAGCTTTGACAAAGAGGAACTTCTTTTGCCTTGCTTCACTTAAGTGCTTCCAAGTGGGCTGCAGCTATAAAGCACCAAGAAGCTGGGGCTGTGGCACATGCCCATCATCTCGGCACTTGGGAGTTAGAGGCAGGAGGATTGCCACAGGTTCCAGGCCAGCCAGGACTACCTAGGGAACCTCTGTCTCAAAAGAAAGCAAAAGCTAGTGCTCAGAGCTCACTGCTGACTTTGTGACTATTCTGCCCTGGTCTAGAATCACCTGTCTCTCCAAGGTACCCTGCTTCCTCTTATTGGAAGCCTAGACGTGGGTATTAAGTGTGTTTATTACTACTACACTCAGAGACTTGTATGTGCGCAGGTACTCTTGATGTGTGCGTGTGTAAGTGGCGGCCAGAGAACAACCCCAGCTATCATTTCTAAAATGCTATCCACCTTCTTTCTTGTCTTCCCTTTCTTTTTCAAAAGACAGAGTCTCCCACTAGCCTAGAAATTGCCAATTTGGCTAGACTAGCTGGCTAGTGAGCCCCAAGAATTCATCTATCTCTGCTTCACCAGTTCAGATTATACACTCCTGCCACCATGCACAGTGTTTTTGTTAGTCCTGGGAAACTGGCAAGAATTCACCCTGAGTTGACAGTGGAAGAAGCTGAGCTCCGAGAGGCTAAGGACACCTGTGCTCCCAACATGCACAGCGGGGGCCCTGTTGAGCCCACCCTGGATGGAGCCAACTCACTCTCAGCACTCAGTATGGCCAGTGAGCATCAGCTCCCCAGCCTGCCCGGCTCTTTACCTTTCCCGGCTCTTTCCCGGCTCTTTACCGCGTGACCCTCCTGCACCCAGCTCTCCGGCTGCCAACCCTGGTCAGTGAGTGACAGCTAAGGAAAGATGGGGGGATCTGGTGAGAGTGTGGGTCCCTGGTGTCCTCCTGGTTGGGCAGAAGTGGCGGTGGCTGTGTCCCTGGGGAGGAAAGGCAGCATCCTGTGGGTAGCCCCCTTCTCTGAATTCCACGGCTTCCCATCCTGATGCCCTGTTGGTACACACACACCCTTCACTCCCTCGGACCTCAGTCAGTCCTGCTGACTCCCCCGGCTCCACTGCACAGGCTTTCCATTCAACTCACGCCCTGGCAGCTGTGGGGACTAGAGACATGGGCTGGAGGCCCAAGTTGAGAGCTAAGCTCTACGTGAACCTTAGAACATGGTTGGGGGGGAGCACGTGTTTGCACATGTTCACATGCATGTGCGTGTAGAGGCCAGAAGTAGACATCTGGTGTCTTCCTCAACAGCTCTCCCCTTATTTTCCCTTCTTTTTTAAAATTGTATTTCTTTGGGTCAGCAATATGGCTCAGCCAGTTAAGGTCCTTGCTGGCAAGCCTAATAATTGAGGTTCAATCCCCAGGACCCACTGTGCTGAGAGACAGACGTGTCCTCTGACCTTCACATGCGCACTAAGGCACAAGCCTCCCCTCGCTCCCATAAAAGAAACTGCAATAGGAAATGACTACGTTGTTATCAATATTGTGTGTACGCATGTTGTTGGGGGGCACACACACCACGGCACACGCTTGGAGGTTGGGGAACAGCTTTGTCAAGTCGTGTCTCTCTTTTCTCCTTAATGTGGGAGGGATGAACTCAGGTTCCCGGATTTGTATACCAAGCACTTGTACCTAACGAGCCTGCTCACTGGCTCCACCTTACTCTTTATGTGTATAGGTATTTTGCGTACGCGTACGTCTGTGCACCACATGTATGCCTAGCACCTGAGGGGACCCCATGAGAGCACTGGATCCCGTAGGACTAGAGTTACACGTGAGCCACCATGTGGGTGCTGGGAATTGAACTCAGGTCCTCTGGCAGAGCAGTTGGTGCTGACTGATGAGGCATCTCTCCAGCCACACATCACCCCTCCTCCATACACTCACTTTTATTTAGAGGCAGGGTCTCTTTCTGAGCCGGGAGCTCAGTGATCAGCTGGTAGCTCAGTGACTCAGCGAGCTCCAAGGATCCCCCGTGTCCACCTCCAGCACCAGGTCTCAAACACCCTGCCCCGCTGCATCCAGCTTTTTATATGGACTCCGAAGAGCTGAAGTCAGATCCCCGGCCTGCACCCCAAACACCTGCCCGCTGAGCCTGCTCCCTGGCCCTCAGCTGAGGTCTCTGAAGTAACCAGAGTTTTCCTTCTCTCTGCTGCGGCCCCCAGTGGTCCTTCCTGCTCCTCCCTGACTAGAGACCACCTCCACCTCAGGGCCTTTGTGCTTCTTGGTGAAAGCCCTTCCTCGCTGTCTCTGTCTTCTCTGACTCTTCCATCCTCATCTGTCTATCTGTCCCTTCCTCCGTGGGTGACCACCTCCCACCCCGCCAGAGGGTCTCACTGTGTGTCTTTTTCTGGCCTGGTATAGACCAGGCTGGCCTTGAACTCACAGACATGCCTGCCTCTTACTCTCAAGTACTAGGGATTAAAGTGCTGCCCCACCATGCCCAACACTAATGCCTGGCTTTTCCTCTTTGTCCATTTCTCGCACCCACCACCCTCTCCGCCTCCCACTGTCTACCGTTTTCCATCCTGCCCTCCTCCGACCTTCTGGGCCTGCCTTGTGCCGTCTGCTCTGTCCTGGTGGCTCTCTCCTGTCCTTGAGTCTGCCTTTGCTCCAGGCTTTCTTCAGGACTTTAGCAAGAGGTAGTGTGTCAGGGCTGGGTCCCGGGGGGACAGCAGCTTCCCCCAGAGTTGGTTCTAGAATTAGGTTGTAATGAGGACTTATAGAAAGGCTGGCCGTTTCTGGAGCCCAGAGGAGCTAGGGGGAAAGACACCGCAGAGGCTGGCGGTGCTGAGTGTCAATACTGAAAAGGTCAAGAAGGCATCAGAGTCCTGAGTCCAGCAAAGGCTGGAACCTGCAGGAGTGGAGAGGAGCAGAGGCCTGGAAGGAGCTGCCAACTCCAGGAAGTAGTCTCCCCAGAGATCTCAGGCTGGTCCCACCCCCACCTGCCTACCTCAGTTTTTCCTTTTGGCCACACCCAAGAGAAAGCTGAGCAGTAGCCTCCCTGGGCCCAGACTGAGGTGAGGAGCTGTTGTTGGAGTCATCTCCAGTCCCGCCCGGGCTGGCAGCCACTCAGACTCAAATAAACATGCAGAGACTTATATTACTTATAAACTGTATGGCCGTGGCAGGCTTCTTGTTATTTGGTTCTTATATCTTAATTTAACCCATTTCTATTCATCTATAAGTTGCCATGTGGCTCGTGGCTTACCAGTACTTTACATCTTGCTTCTCATGGCGACGTCTCCTGACTCAGCCTTCCATCTCCCAGAATTTTCCTCTCTCCTTATCCTACCTACACTATACTTCCTACCTGGCTACTGGCCAATCAGCATTTTACTTACCAATCAATCAGAGCAACACATTCACAACATTCACAGCATCCCCAGTAAGGCAGGGGTCAGCCTGGGGAAGGGACAGACAGGGTCACCTCTTCCAAGAGACCTGACCGAGCAAATCCTTCTGTCATCACCCTCCGGGGCAGGCTCCCAAGCCCTCCTGAGCCAGAAAAGTAGAATGTGATGTTGGGGTAGGAGAGCTCAGTGCAGTGCCTTACCATCAAGGCTGTACACGCCCTTCCCCAGACAACCCCCGCTCTGCTAGTGTTTTACTCAGGATTAAATGTATGTGTCAGAAAATCCAAGATAGTCGTTTCTTAGAAGAGATACAAATTTCTCTCACAATCAGAAGCCTCATACACAAGCAGCTCAGGGGCCTGGCAGGATGGCTCAATGGGTAGATACCTTGCAGCTCATGGATACGGACCTGAGTTTAAACCTAGAACCCACATAAAGATGAGAGAAAGGACTTCTGACCTCTCCATGCAGGCATGCCATGACACATGCACACCCACACTCACACATCATACACAGACAATTATTTTAAGCTCAAGGTTGGTTTGGTAGTTCACAAAGTCCTCGGAACTACATGACTCCTTTTGAGTCATCTTCCGGAATCCATGGCTTCTACCCCATGATCCAACAGGGCTCCTCAAGTTCCAACAATCACACCTACGTTTCAGACAGCAGCAAAACACCCTCCAAGGGTCCCGACCGACGAGTGAGCTTTAGGCTGACTGTGTCAAGGCCGTGCTTGCTGAGGAAGGACCTGGAAGACGTAGTCTTTCCTCTGAGTGGGGCTCATGTACAGCAGAGGGATTGCTGATTCTCGTAATAGTAAGGAAGACAAGAACGGATTCTGGGACCAGCTACTAGGAGAGCACACGGAGGTGCTGCAGGGTTCGGGTGTTCGGAAAAAGGGGAACTTAAGCCGCCTCCACCCTTGGCTCCAGGGAGCTTCCTGCGTCTGTCTTTCCTTCTGCTGAATGACTCAGTAACAGACACACACTACTGAAGCCGCCACCTAGTAACCAAGGCCGGCAATCGTCCATCCTTCTGCCCTTGTCTCCTCTATTCCAGAGCAAGCTACAAGCCTTCTCTTCCTGACTCCACCTACTAATGAGCTCTCCCTTTCCTAGCTCCACCTATTTCACAGACCC